TATGGACGGTGCCACCATTTCCCTAAAGAAAGATTTTCTGGAATCTGTTTTGGTTTTTAGAGGAACTTTCCCTACTAGAGACTTTACATAAAAAGGCAGGCTGTAAATAACTACCTGTGTTATTTAAGGTCAAGAGTTCTTGCTCAAGTCGGCTTTTCTTTCAGTGGCTTCTCAAACTTTTGATATCCGTGGTTAAAAAAATTAGAATCCATCAAAATTTACTTATACTTCTGCCTATTTGACACCTACTGAAATTCTTTCACTATGTATTACTTTAATCTGTTCTCCCAAATACCTGCCCCCCCGACCGCCTTTGGTTGAGAACGGTTATATTCTGGGTTTTGTTAGCAAATTAATTACCTAGCTATGTTCATATTAGGAGAAAGATAGCTAACATGCACATAGTTTTATTAAAAATTAAGAGCAACTTAATTCCACAAAAAGATAGGTGGTTACATATGGAAAACGGATTTTGGTATGTCGATATATAATCCAAGAATTCACAGAGTAATGCCCTGCTGATAATAGTCTCATTTTACACTTCAACATACTGCTTTTAATTCAGAAGGAAAGTATGTGAATACCAATATTAAAATAAGATTTTTTTTTAAAGATTTGGCTTTTATGTGGCATTTTTTCACTGAACTAACAGTCTAAATATTTCTGTTATTGTAGGATACCGTGACTTGGACGTGGCAAGGATATACATTGTAAGTCACTTCTCTTTATTATTGGTTTATTTGAATTTTATTCAAGTGAAGAAAAAAAAAGATCATTTATTCCTTTTTTTTAAATAAGCCTTGTTTTTTTTGTAAAAGGAAAGATTTCTCTTTTTTTAAGCTTTTATTTGTTTATGTATTTATTTGAGAGAGAGAGTGTGTGTGGAACCGAGGGATAGGGAGAGGGACAAGTAGACTCCACCCACTGAGCTAGAGCCGGAGCCTGACGCAGGGCTCGATCTCACAACCCTGAGAACAGGACTTGAGCTGAAACCAAGAGTCAGACTCCCAACCGACTGAGCCACCCAGGTGCCCCTAAAAGTAAAGATTTCTAATCAGCTTCTAAAATCTTGTCACCGAGAAGTCTCTGTAGAGAGCATCACTCTCTTGCCCATTAAACCCCCAGTCCCTCCCATGTGCAGAATTCTGTCTGCCATGTCTTATGGGTCTCACGCGCGTATCTACCAATTCTTAAGAACCAGTCCAGTGACCTGGTTTGCATCCTACTTAGCTTTAATCTTGTAGTTTTATTTCCGTTGCTGGCTTGACATGTTAGCTGGTGTCTCCATTGTTGTTTTACTCTATCGGTTTAAGCAGTCCAGAGCCATTGCGTCATAGGGCCTGAAATAGCCGTGATGTGTCTGATCTGAGCTGAGAAAATAGCTAAGCTTTCAGTTCCGTTCTTGGATTCTAAAAGCATGGGGATCAGCAATTTCTATAAACATTTAAGAGAGGAGAGAAACAGCTCACCAGTAAGCCAGCTGAAGTGAAACAGGCCTTTAGAAAGAACAGAACATGTAGAATCTTACTTTCCCTCAAGACCTTTGATCGAGTTCCCCCTGGATTAAGTCCGAGCCCATCCACACTGTGGTGAGAACCTTGGATAAAATGCCTGGATTGGAGGGCTTTGCCTTGGGCCTTCCCCAGCAATGCCTTTTGATACTGAACACAGAGTTTATATAACATTGTTGATGCACAGACAACCACTTGGACATATTTAAAGGGAATCCTCATTTGCCTTCAAGTACCTTGTGACTTCCTTAGATCATCCCAACAACATATGAAAGTCTGATTTTTTTTTTTTTAACTGCATACCAATTTTCTCCATGTGTGAATTGCACTGAAATAATAAGTTTAAATCAGAGTAGGTAACTGACAGGCCAGTTACATGCATTAGTGGTTATTAACACGTGAGGCACATATGTTCCTATTACGGTTGGGTCCTTCATAGTCAAAGTAAGTGACACTCGAAATAAAGACCATCGATTGTGAAGGACATCTAGGTGTTATGTGATCTTTAACTTCTCTGGAAATCGGTTTATTCCTTTGGCCAGAATACAGGTTTCGTGTCGCTGTTGGTCTTGAGTTCCTGGTTTTCAGCTTTTTAGATAAGGGCCAGTGAGGAGGAGCAAATCGTACGAGAGCATTATAGAAAAGGGAGCGCCTAAAATCTGGGTGTCCTGAGGTATGTGTCCTGAGGTGTGTTATTTTCGTGGCCTTTACAGTTTAAGCTCCTTATAGCGACAGTGACCTGCGTGGTCAGTGTGCCTCGTGTAACTTGTGTGGCAGCACAAATACAGGAAAGCCTTCCTGGAAGGGGAATCAGGCTAGAAAATGGAGTGGCTGGGTTAATCCAGGCTTCTAACCTGGGATGTGTGTGATAAAGGGAAAAAGAAAATAGAAGAGGGAAATCAAAAAAGAGAAGGAAAACATTTTCCCAGAGGTGAAGATTTCTTAGGACCGATAAAGACAAAATCCTCAAAAGGCACGATTTTCTTTTGTCCAGATGCCACATTGCACCTGCCCGGGGTGACTCTCATTTCCACTTCTATCTTCCAGTGGTCTTCATGGCGTATTTAACACTGTGCTGTTTCTGTCAAGTCCGTTTCTTCAGTTGCCTTCGCTCTAAGGGCAAGTCTAGACTGAGATTCTAAGGAAGAGAGTCTATACTAAGGCAAATAGCCTAAGGGAGAGGGATAGTAAACTTAGGGAGTACACTTAGAGAAGGGGAAGCTATGGAAAAGCTTTTTTGTGTGGGTCCAAGAGGTGTTTGGTTTGTGTGTAGTGTAGACAACACAGGTTTAATGAGGTCTTATGCCTGACTCCTTTCTTTCTTCCTCCATCCCTGCCCCCCATCGCTCCCACCCACCCTTCCTTCCTTCCTTCCTTCCTTCCTATCTTTGTCTTTCTTTCTTTCTTACAGCAGTCAGAATTTTCCAAACAGATTTATCTGTTTGAATCGCTAAATTCCAAATCTCAATTTAGATAATTCAAGAATAATTTACTTCATGGTAAATAATGTGGATTGATTTTGCTTGCTTGTGGTTGATAGTAAAAGATCTTTTTCCTCTCAGATGGAAAATTTGAGAACTGATACTTACATTCACAATTTAGAATTATATATAGAATTGGTACATCTACCTAAATTCCTTCTTTTAACTAAATTCCTTGTTTAAATTTCTAAATTTCTTGTCTGAAGTAAGTCCTTCAAGTAATTTTTTATAGATAAATCATATTTTAGTTTCTTTCTTTTTTTTTTTTTTTTTAAAGGGAGAGATGATAGAGCACAGGAGTGGGGAGAGGCAAAGGGAGAGAGAGAATCTCAAACAGGCTCCCCACTGAGTGGAGAGCCTAACATAGGGCTCCGTCTCAGGAACCTGAGATCGTGATCTGAGCCAAAATCAAGAGTTAGATTCCTTCAGGGAAATACAAATCAAAACCACAATGAGATACCACCTCACACCAGTCAGAATGGCTAAAATTAACAAGTCAGGAAATGACAGATGCTGGCGAGGATGCGGAGAAAGGGGAACCCTCCTACACTGTTGGTGGGAATGCAAGCTGGTGCAGCCACTCTGGAAAACAGCATGGAGCTTCCTCAAAAAATTGAAAATAGAGCTACCCTATGACCCAGCAATTGCACTACTGGGTATTTACCCTAAAGATACAAACGTAGTGATCCAAAGGGGCACGTGCACCCGAATGTTTATAGCAGCAATGTCCACAATAGCCAAACCATGGAAAGAACCTAGATGTCCATCAACAGATGAATGGATAAAGAAGATGTGGTATATATATACAATGGAATACTATGCAACCATCAAAAGAAATGAAATCTTGCCATTTGCGACGTGAATGGAACTAGAGGGTATTATGCTTTGCGAAATAAATCAATCAGAGAAAGACAACTCTCATATGATCTCCCTGATATGAGGAAGTAGCGATGCAATGTGGGGGGTTTGGGGGTAGGAAAAGAATAAATGAAACAAGATGGGATCAGGAGGGAGACAAATCATAAGAGACTCTTAATCTCACAAAACAAACTGAGAATTGCTGGGGGTAGGAGGGTAGGGAGAGGGTGGTGGGGTTATGGACATTGGGGAGGGTATGTGCTAAGGTGAGTGTTGTGAAGTATGTAAACCTGGCGATTCACCTGTACCCCTGGGGCTAATAATACATTATATGTTTATAAAAAAATTTAAAAATTAAAAAAATAAAGTAAGATGCTTCACCAACTGAGCCACCCAGGTGCCCCAATTTTAGTTTCTTAAGAGCAAAAACAGGTTGGCTGTTTTCTTAAACATGTAGATGAAGCCATTCAGCCACCTCATCTGTCTAAATGAGGTGAAATAAAAATCCCATTGATGTCCCATCCCAATAGTTTAAATATGTATTAGGAAGCCACACATAGAAACAACTGTCCCAGAAATGTTCCTTGAGAGGGTTGGTTATAATCACTTTAAAGCCTTTGTCTTTTGTCTAGCTTTGCAGTGAAAGAAAATTTCTCCATAACTAAAACATTGACAATATATTAATTGGGAAATTATGATAAAGTTTCTGCTGTTAGGGAAAGGCCCTCTGATTTCTTTTTTCTTTTTCTTTTTCATATCAGAAAAGAGTTTAGAAATGTAATGTTCTACTCAGGAGTTGTCCTGTAAACACAGTCACGTACCTTAAAATGTGGCTTCGGTAGTTCCTCTAGGGTCTTAGGCCTACAAGTCCGAGTTGTCAAGGAGACCTCAAATTTGGGGGTTAGCGTGCTGAGCCGCAGCTCTGACTCACAAGGACGTATTTGGTATTGCATTTAGTGATTTGACTTTTGAACATCACGAACACTTGTTCAAGCCCGTGCTACAGCGGCCCGGTGACATGCATAAATGCGGAATATATATGAAGTGTGACATGACGGTGCTCGTGTACAAAGAAAGGATCGTTGAGTAATAATACTAGTTGATACTTGCCTTACCACATAAACATGGCCTGCTCTTTTTTTCTCTTCAGCATTCAGCTTTGTATGCTTACTTTCTGCCAGCCCTTCACAAAGGTGGAAGTTGAGGTAAGTCTTTCAACACGCAGCCTTGGAACCGGACATTTGGCCTTCCCTTTTCTTTCTAATGTCTAGTCTAGGGACCCCAGCTGTACAGAGGTTGGAAGTTAAACCCACCCCCGAAAATGAGCGCTGGTCTTTTACACATTGTCCACCTGGCTCTCAGATCCAGCCCTGAATACCAGGAAGTACTGCTAACTTCTGGGAACTTCCGCCCTTAGCTGCCCTTGGCTGACTAGATTTGCATATTGTTCTCTCTCTTATTCCTTTCAATGCTGACTCTGCCCAGGCGGTTGGTAGGCTTCCCTTCCTCACAGAAGGAGCTCCTGCAGTTGATGGAGTCCTAGCTCTAGCTCCTGGAAGACTATGTTCTGTCAAAGCAGAAGCCCTCACTTTGCGAATCCTTGTGCACGCGGAAGGCCTGGGGAAATCCTATGTGGGAGGCCGCTCATATCATCATGAACAAGGCAGTCTTCTGGTTGGAGTTGCAGCAGCAGGCAGGGGGTGGGGGAGTAATTCGATCTTCCCGAAAATTCTGACCAGATTTTTAAGACTCTGAAGGTGGATTCCAGAACCATTCTCAGATTCTAGGAATGGCGCAGAGTGGACACCTCAATGCAGAATTGAGTTGGTTTTGGTGATGCTCTCAGGTTGCCTTTGAAGAGAGAGGGTCAGAAGGGTGGGGCAGACTCTTAATTTCATTTTTCAGTTGCATCCATAGATTGTGTAATGAGAACGTGGAGTTTGCTATATAATTCAGAATCCTGAGTGGGGGTCCACGTTCCAAGTGATGGGACATGGAATTTAAGTCACGAGGATACTGTCTTTTTACTTTGTTTTATAACTTAGGCATTAAGCCATGTAGAGGTTGTCAGTAATACCAAATGGCACAGAAGGGCAAATTATATCTCAAAATGAGTCTCACCATGGTTGAAATTTTTCTTGAGACTTGCAGGTTGCTTGCCTGCCAGGAAAAGATGTTTCTTAATTATATGCCACACTTCCCCACATTTAAAACCAACTCAGTATCTATCAGAGTGACCAAAAAACACTCGTTCTTGAAATGTGCATAGATGTTTCTAGAGAAAAACACTAATCTGTACCCTAGTAATTAGTTTAAGAAGTACCAGGGTAAACACAATGGATCAGATTTCTTTTCTCAAGAGCTGTCATTGCCTTTGAGGTGGTTTGACTACAGTACCCCTTTTTCTCTGGATACCTCCTGAAACTGGTATTCCAGAGGAAACATTCTGGGGAACCCTATCAGGAAGTAATTTTGTATTATTTCTAAGTACTCCAAGCAGGCTTTTCCTTCTTTAACAGCTATTCAGATCAACTAGCCCTGTGTTCTTTCTCTAAAAAAGAAAAGAAAAGAAAACTCATACTTAAAACAGCCACGCTGTCTTCTGTGCAAATTTGGAAGATACTGTGTGTATAGTATATATGCTCCCCCTAACCACATACCCCTCCCCAGCTAAAACAAGATCTAGCGACAGATGTGGAAATACACATATGTACTTCTTTTTTTTTTCTTTAAGATTTTATTTATCCATCTGTCAGAGAGACCACAAGTAGGCAGAGAGGCAGGCAGAGAGAGGGGGAAGCAGGTTCCCTGCCAAGCAGAGAGCCCGATGCGGGGCTCAATCCCAGGACCCCGAGATCACGACCTGAGCTGAAGGCAGAGGCTTAACCTACTGAGCCACCCAGGTGCCCCAGAACTGTACTTCTTTTGTCTACATGTGTCAGTGGTCAAATTGTTACAACAGAAGTAGGCAAAGTGCTCTTCTCTTTTTGCCCTGAACATTATTATCACATTTCCTTTCTGTGTCATGGCCGGCCTGCCTACCTTCCTACCTTTCCTTCCTTCTTTCTTTTTCTTTCTTTCTTCTTTTCTCTTTCTTCCTTCCTTAGACCTTCCTTCCTTCCTTTCTTTCTTATTACAATATTTCCTTTTTTCCACCCAGTTCTTAGACCAGTCTGTGTAATATTTCCTGGCAAAGACTATATCCCTTGATAACATCACAAACAAAATGGCTACCAGCCTGTGTAAAATAGAAGAATCGGTGAGATTCAATGTATTAGAATTGTGGCACATAGCAAGAGGATGGGAATGGGTGGCCTTTCAAGTTCCGTCTTCTTAGTTTAATTATATTTATTTTAGATTTACGGTGCAAACTTTCACTCTGGGCACTCCTCGCTACTTTATGACTTTTGAATATTTTCATTCCTCCCAGGTTGGGTTCAACTGAAAAATGCATCCCACTGCCTGTCAGGGGCTGGGTGTATCCACACCCAGCTCAGAACTCTCGAGATCTGGGCATGGCCTCCAGGCTTTTTGTACTATGTCCGAGGAAGCCTGGCCTGAGCTGCCGCACATGGAGCTTACATGGAAGGCTCAGTGCATTTAGTTGCACCAATGTCAGGTGACTTCGTTACTCAGAAGCTCCCTCCCCTGCCCACCACCACCTCCATGTTCTTTAAAACTGTTGGAATTCGGGGCACATGGGGGACTCAGTTGGTTAAGTGTCTGACTCTTGATCTCAGCTCAGGTCTTGTACTCCGGATCATGAGCTCAAGCCCCACACTGGGGCTCCACACTTGGTGTGGAGCCTACTTAAAAAACAAAAACAAAAACCAAACAACTTGGTGGAAATCCTAGTTATTGCTTTTTCACATAATTTTTAGAACTTTGTGAATATTCATTAGGTAAGTCTAGTTGAAGATGTGTCGTTCAAGAATATGGTCTTAGTTTTGTGTTTTTTGTTTTTAAGATTTTAGTTATTTATTTGACAGAGATCATAAGTAGGCAGAGACACAGGCAGAGAGAGAGAGGAGGAAGCAGGCTCCCCGCTGAGCAGAGAGCCCGATGCGGGCCTCGATTCCAGGACCCTGGGATCATGATCCCAGCTGAAGGCAGAGGCTTTTAACCCAGTGAGCCACCCAGGCGCCCCAGTTTTGTGGTTTTTAAATGAACTTTGAGTGGATCATTTGATGTCCTTTTAGACACTGCCCTGGTGAGTCACAGGATGTAGAAGGCCTTATTCTTTGATCTTTTACAAGTTGTCCCTCCCTGATGACCATTTCCAACTCTGTAGTCCCCAGAATCACTGGATCACTAAAATCTAGGGAGTGTAATATTGAGGGGTGTTTTCTCATCTCCTCTCCCCACTCCTTCTCTGCTTCCTCGACAGAGACTTATTTTCAAAAAGACCATCATTTTCCTAACTCTTGAATGTTAAAAGTATAATCACTTCCAAACCGCGTGCCCTTTGTAATTGATCTTCCGGCATCCTTGAACAATGGGGCCTGTGTGTCCACAGAGGGTTCTACTGAAAGTTATCCTCTGGGTCATAGTGGCCTAGTGGGTGTGTTTAAAGTGTCTTTTAGTGGTTTCTTTTATTGGCCAGCGACTTCACAAGGGTGCCTTTATAAGCAGATGGCTTGGGGCATAAGGAAGAAAGGAGATAGCTAGTAGGAAGCATCCCAAAATGTGACATAGATCAACAGCCTGCTAGTTGTATCTCATGAGAGAGGATCCACGCAAAGCTGGACTATCGGGCATTGTGAGCAGCATCTGGTTTAATGAATGGAAACAGGGCGTTCACGGCGACCATCAGTCTGTTTCCTCCTTCTTAGGCTGTGTCTCCGTCGTACTCAGAGCCACCACAGGAAAATGATTCGTCTGGAGGCATATTTTGTTTTCATAAAATTCCTTTGCAAAGCTTAGAAGGAGCTTCTGGTGGCTAGTGTTAGACCTACAATACCTTATGGTAGGCAATCCGTGGCTATAAGTAGTAGAAAAAGATTGATTTTCATGAAAACACAATTCTGATTTAGGAAACGATTGCAACAATGAGTGTTATGATCAACACCTGTATTGATAACAACTTTTTTTTTTAATATTTTATTTATTTATTTGACAGACATTGATCAGAAGTAGATAGGGAGAGAGAGGAGGAAGCAGGCTCCCCGCGGAGCAGAGAGCCCGATGCGGGACCCGATCCCAGGACCCTGAGATCATGACCTGAGCCGAAGGCAGCGGCTTAACCCACTGAGCCACCCGGGCGCCCCTGATAACAACTTTTTAAATCTCTGAAGAGTTCATTACTCAAGGAAGGTTCAGATATATTTATATGGATTACTTAAATATCCAAACACACTCAAATGACTTATAGTTTTGAATTTAAAATGAATGGACGTTTTAGAAAACCTTTATTTCATGAATACACACATACACACAAAACCCATATATGCCCGTTTATGTACTTGTTCTAACAAAACTAATTTCTTCTGGAACTTGGTAGAATTCTGAAATTTCTAAGTAGTACCAGAGAAATGGAGCGTTATATCTATATTTTTATTTTCTTTGAGAGACTGCATGATTGGGGTGGGGGAAGAGGGGCAGAGGGAGAGGGAGAGAGAGAATCTCAAGAAGACTCCGCACTGAGCATGGAGCCCATCCTGGGGCTCAGTCCCACGACCCTGAGATCATGACCTGAGCCGAAATCAAGAGTTGGATGCTTAACCCACTGAACCACACAGGCACCCTGAGAAATGGAGTGTTGTAAAAAAAGAGTACTAGCTAGGGTTTTGTTCCAATTCTGCTGCTACCAATCTGTATATGCTTGAGTAAATGAGCCTTTGTTCTCACTGGGAAAATCGGGATGTAACACGTCTTTTCTAGGGTAGTTAGCATTTAATAAGGCGATGTAAGTGGGAGCACGGGGTAGGTGTTCAATAAGCATGCACTTCTGTTTCCCTCACCATCTCAGTTGTTCTGTCCTTTGGGAAGAAAGCAGCAAATGTTAGTTCCCAAATACCTTCCTTCATTCACATTTGCTGTTTTGAAGCCTTCACAGAAGAATCATGGGAAGAACCAGAAAGGCACATCTGTGGAGACCGACTCATGAAATCCTTTTCTGTTACTTGGAGAAAGGAAAGGCTGTTGGTAGTAACATCATTCATCAGTCCTTCTCCTTTTTTACAAGCATTTATTTAATAGAAAGGAATGTGCTCAGTGTGGTCAGGAAACAATGAATAAAGCAGCTTTTCTGGTCCCGAGTATTCGTGTGAAGGGTTGGCTCTGGATATCTGAGCGCCTTCAAAACAGGCTAAAGAATTCTGACTTTCTCTTGTGCGTAGCCTATGGCCCAAGAGATGGTGGGGCACTGTGGGACCAGAAGGGCAGAAGGGGGTGTTCTATGGGCAACTCATCTGTTAGCCGCCTCCTTATATGGGACACGATGGTGCGGAGTCGGCAGGCAGAGGACCAGAGCACCCTCGAGTGAGGAGGGCAGAGGCACTGGGAGCCAGTCTCAGGAGAGATGGAAAAGAATTGGACATTCACGAGGACCTTTGTGGGGAAGGCGAGCCTTCCCTCTACCCACCTAGGTTCCATAGCTGGATCTGTAAAAGGATCTCACCACAGGCAGATTCGTAGGAGAAAAGTATACAGATTTATTCATTTTTAATATGTACACAAAGGCATCCAAGGGGATAAAAAGTGAATGCCCCAGAAAGTGGTGAGGATGGGGAAGGAGATGTTGGCCACTCAGTGGAGAGTCCGTGACCATCAGGAAGGACAGATGGACCCTGGGAAGAATAGCTTGGGAGCTATGATAGTGCGCGGTAAAGCTTGTCTTGGTGTGATGTCGCCTTCCAGTCCCATCTCCTGGGATAAGAGTCCATCCTACCTGTTTGATGAAAGTCCTCTAGGAAGGAATTTATGGCAACCGAGTTCCTTTTGGAGGAGCTGACTTGAGGCAGGTAAGGGAAGTTCAGAGAAAACCTGTCCCTGCATTTGCCATTTTTCAAGTGCCTTTACCTCAAAATAATCAGTGCACCAAAGTGGTACGTTATGAGATAGCATGTCCTGAACTCCTTCACAATTTTTTTTCTAAAGTTGAGCGTGAGGTGCCATTGGAGGGAAAGGAGAATCAAGCCCCTAGAAGCATGGACTGTGTCCGAAACATTAAACTATGATGGCAGCAGGTCCAAAAGGCACACCCCAAGCAGCCGCGAGGGTCAGGTCAAGTCACGTGATCCTCGCATATCACAGAGACATAAAGGAAACAGACTCAGGATTAAGATCCCATCTGGGGGCACACTGGCATGAGTGAGAGGATAAAGGAAGGCCTTCCGCAAAACAAACAGAACCACTTTTGTATCTGGAGGCAGTATGGTCGTCTTGGGAAAATAACGTAATTTTCAAGCAGCCGTGAGGACCCTGTGGAACATAACATGAATTTGTGGTAGACTCAACCCATGAGACCACGGCCCTTCGTTTTAGCACCCCTCAGTGGTCTCTCACTGTGTGGGAAGGAAGGAGCAGGAGAGGTGATTACCCGCTTGTGATTGGCGCCATGAATGTGGCAGAAGGGGGAGATCCTAGGTGACAGAAAGTTGACAGGGAAATCCAGTGAAGACAGGCAGCCAACTGTTGCCAGGAGGGAGTGAAGGAAGAGGGACGGGCCTGGTCCTGAGAGTGACCAGCAGGTTCTCACAGCTGTGTGGGACCGGGTTAGAGAAGTAAACAAGAACTCGTCAGAGGAGACGGCCATCATTGTCAGAAGAGATGGCCGCCATTGTCATTGTTATTGTCTCTGTATCCCAGCCACAGCTGAGAACCCATGTGGCCAGGTGAAGGGGCTTCGAAAGCAATAGGTCAGATGAGCCATCTGTGTGGATACTCGGGATGATGAGAGAAGAGGAAGGTGGAAAGGAAAATCACGGGTCCTGAAGTGACTAGGGTATCGAGCTGTGTGTTAGGGGACGGTAGTAGACAATGGCAATCATGTTTCCCTGCCTTCGGCCAATCTTCCTTCCCAAATAAAAGATGTGGTTTTGCTGTGAGCCTTGAATGACCACATACAAAATAGAAATGTGAAAAAGAGGGCAAGGTCTGCTCTGAGGAGAAGTGACTTTTTATGAGAATTTCCATTGTATTGCTTCTCAGGAGGCATGGGGGGGGGGCCTCCAGGGCCCGTGAGGGTCAAATCCAGGTTTTTAATTATTTTGTACTCTCCGTGGAATTTTCTTCGAGAACAAAATGCCATATAATATGAGGGTTATTAAAAACCATTTTATGGAAAATATTACCTGCACTAAAAGGAATTGAACCCACAGCTTATTGTATTGGTTAACAGTTGTAGCAGCAATTTATTTCCCAGGGTTTTCTGGGTGTGTGTTTATAACCGACAAATTAAGCGTGTTACAAATGATCATGTGGCTTTTTTTTTAATGAAGAATTATATGGTGGCTTAAAACTTTATCGTTTTATGTTGTTAGAGACTTTATGAATATTGATTTTAACATGCCATTTTCTTCCTTGGATTTCATATGAAGCAAATACAAGAGATGAAAATCTAGAACAGGATGGAGGGCATTTTGAGAAATACTGATTTGCAAAGATCCGTTGTTGCTCTGGATAGAGAAGTATTGTGGGGACCTCTGGTGGCTTAGTTTATTTTTCCGTCTTGAAGAGTAGATCCTGAGTGGAAAGCTAATTGCAGAATTCCAGTTGGAGAGGGACTTTGAAATCATCGAGCCAAACTTTTTGATCGGCAAGAGAGGGCACTGAGTGACCTCAGTGATTCAGACCTGATTCAGACCTGACCCCGTCAGGGCTGAATGACTTTTCCAGGATCTTATGGCAGAGCCAAGGCCACAGCCAGGCCGAGTGCTTTTTCTGCAGCATCCCTCCAATCCACTGGGAGAGAATGTTCATTGTGGTACGTGTCACACAGCGCGCTGTCCCGTGATTCGGATCCATGTCATCCTAAAATGCCACTTGCCTTCTTGCTGTCCTCTGCGTCCGCATTCCCTCTCGTCCGCATTCCCTCTCTTCTCTCACCGAGTGGTTGCGGTAGCTTCCCGGGCTACTCCCTGCTCTTAGACTTTTCCTCTTTGGCTCAGCCATTCCCTGCCGTGGAGATTTCCGCTCAAAAGCTTGGCCTTGATCACCACACTCCCTTGCTCAAAGCTCATCTCCAAATCGCCCTTGCCCAAAGGCGTCTTAACGTGACTAACGAGATTTGAAAACAGGTCCACTTGAGTCCAGAAGTGGTGTTATTTATACAGATCTTTCTTTTTCTTTCAAATCACAGTCCTGTCACTAGGGTGTGGCTTTGGCTACATGGCGTAGCCTCTTCAAGCCCTTCTCCACCCAACTGATGAAAGTGGTAAAGCTGGCCTCCAGGAATTGTGGAGAGTTAATCTTATAAATAACCCAGCACACAGTAGGTGCCTAATGAATGATAGCTTATCCTGGTGGACTTGACACATCTGTTGTAACTTTTTACCCCACCTCCCGGAGGGCTCCTTGATGGTAGGGGCTTCCTTGTCCTGCCTTTGGGGCTTAGTGCAGCATCTGGTATACAGTAGGTGCCAAAGCAATATTTGTTGAACGTAAGTGGGCCATGAAAACTTGAGCAAATCATTTGATCTTTGTGAACCCCAATCCTAAGGACAAAAATCGGGAGGACTGGTGAAATGAAATAAGGCATGTAAAAGCGCCTAGCACAGTGCCTGGTTCGTGGTTAGAATTCAATGAACAGTAGCTATTGGCAAGATCATGTTTACCCCCAAAAAGCCAAGATCAAGTATTAGCTCTTCTGTAAAGCCTCTTTGGCTGTTTTTCCCTGCCCCCCAGCCAAATTAATCATTTCTTATCCCTCGCTTTCATATTCCAGGAAGGATGGGTTAGTGGGGAAAACAAGGGTTTTAGAATCTGACCGAACTTGGGCTGAGCTCTGGCCATGTGACCTGTATAACACTAAGCTCACTTAATGAAACTTCTGAGCCCTGTCATTGAGGGTAATGATACTTAGCATATGCTGTGTTGGTCTGTCTTTTAAAGTATGGGTCTTTTTTGGGAGCAGGAATACAGTCCTGTTAATCTTGCCTGGGTTAATGGTAGGTGCTCAAAAATGATGTCGGAACTTAAATATAGCACCACAATCTCATTAATGTTCAAAAACTATAAATAAAACAAGGATGGCACCAATGAGGCACCACCAAACATCAAGTAGAGAAAAAAAAAAGTAAAATTTAAACCGATAAAGCAAAACACAGTGTCGGGCCAAAGCAAGACAGCCCATACTAAGGGTTAAAAGAAAGCCGAAGAAATGACAAAACATGACATTTGAACAAACAATAAACTGCGGCCAACACAGGAGTAGGTAGGGAAGATATACCATAAGTGACAAGCTACTACCTGTATTGACGTTCTCACAGAGGGCTAGGAAACGCAGCGTGAAGAAGAAGGTCTTCCTACCTACAGCTTTACAACTTCCAGAATTCCGGGCCGTGGCTCAGTTCGTCCTCATCACAACCTGGGCAAGTGGGTGATTATCGCCCTCTTGTCAGAGTCCAGGCGACAGTGAAGAATACTTCAGGGACAGCCTCGTGAACACACAGAAAGACGCAGGGCTTGGCTGCAGACCCCCTGAATCCAAGCACAGCGTTCTTTCCACTATAGCATATTACCCATGTGCCAGAAGGGCGGCGGGGGGGGGGGGGGCGGGGGGCGGAGTTACTATAGCTAACTTATAAATTAATATATGTAGCATGTAGCATCTTAGCCCTCACTGTTGTAATGGAAAGGCATGCTTGTCTTTCAGTTTCTGCCTGTTCAGGTACCAAACGATGAAGAAAAAAGTGATCCCATCCTTTTTGCTGGTAGAGTCCGGAATTTAATGGCTGAGTAAGTGTCTGTATGTGATCGCCATCAGTAAATTGTTTTTAAATGATTGGTCAACAGCATTTCATGTAGTTTTAGGATTTGGGTGTTTTGTTTTGTTTTGTTTCATCCTGACGGCCTCATTCCCTACCTCATTCTGGTAAGTAAAATAATGTGCCTGGGATATGTGGTCAGAAAGACAATCTACAAACATGTTCCCCAGATGCAGCCCCAGACTCAAAGCCCCGGTCTTTGGGTTCTTCTAAGCTGGCTTGTCACCGTCACACATTCGTGGCTCGCCTTCTGGGCCCCAGTCTCCACAGAGGTGCCAAGGCCAGGCGTTTCAAAGGCATTAATGATTATAGCCACACAAAGGAGAAAGTTTGCAAGGGAAGGCAATAGATGCACAGAAAAGGGAGGAAAGTCCACCCCCATTAAGGGACGCCTGTAAATTTAGGATTTGTAAATCATAAGCATCAAGCAAATATTTTCCGGCACTTAACGGAGTTTTAGCTGGCAATGATTCTGATTAGATAAATCACCTTTCATCCTGTAATGAAAGAATGAGTGTTGTACCGTCCTACCACCCAGACAGCCCTAAGAGCCTTCCCAGTGTGCACCCCACACCAGGCAGCAGTCCCCGGCTCATTGCAGTTAGTGGTCTCGGCACGAATAGGCCAGTAGTATGTATTCCTAGTAAAAATTCAGATGAGATATCTGAATCTAGCTTCCAAGCTGAATTCGGTTTTATAAACAAGATAGTATATACATAAATTCATATTTCACAGCAGAATAACTATATGTTCACAACAGTCTTAAGTGTTCAAACGCTCAAAACCTTTTTTTTTTTACTATGCGTACCTACATGTACTTGATTTTCCCAGCTTCTAGACTGGCTACAAAATTTGTTTTGAGTTGCTTTTCTTCCCTTTCTTCTTCTCTTTCCATACCAGCTTATGTCCAAAAGTTAGGAACTAAGATCGATCTTAGGAATTGAGAGAATTCATACCAGATAGTTGGACTTCCCAAAAGATGTCTATAAAACAGAGCGGCGGGTTGGTTAGTCAGACTTTTTTCTGAATTTGGAGGCATGGAGGCAGAAGGGCCTTGAATAAAGAGTAAGAAAGACCTCAATCAGCTACACAACCATGAACAAGGCCTTCTGTGGCTCCTTTTCCTAATATTTAAAGTCGGAGTTAAAGTCTTTGCCTTGCCTTTCGCCTGGTTTTGGTGATCATGAGTCACATGGAAGAAAAGTGTATGACAGAAGCATTTGAAAATAGAAAGATGCAAATTAGCGGTGTTATATGACTCATCATGAATATTTACCCAGTAGTGTGCCGGGCCATTTACTCAGGTTATCTAACATAATCTTCACAGCAACTCTTGGAGCCAATCAAGGAAAGTGAGACTCAGAGGGAGATACCGTTTGCCCAAGATCATAGCAGGTAGTGAGGGTCTGGGCTGGGACTCAAATCCACGTTCCCTGTTACCCAAGCCCCAAGCTCTTAAAGGGCATCTCTACTGTCTAGGATTATAAATTATAAATTCCTGAAATATTTAAAATGTTTATTTTCCCAAATAAAAATATTCATATACCAAAATATTTATTAATCAAAAACAGCCTGTAGTTGTAGATAGAAAAAAAAAAATTGTTCTTATTGCATCTGTTGAAAATGTAACATTCTTAGCAGTGATTCAACAAAATCAACAAAAATAGTGGAAGACAGAACTTTAGGATTCACACTGAATATCTGTGAATAAAAGTTCTGTGAAAAGGAACCTTCAGGAAATTATTTTGGGTACCGCACAGGCTTTTTTCTCAGGACTTAGTGTTTTTTCAAGTTGTTAATATCTGTTTTTTTTTTTTCAAATCAAGTTCATTATTAGACCTCTGAGCAGGAGGGAGCCAGTAGGGGTCATGCCCTCCTTTGAGGATGGACGATGTTTAGGTTTGGAAGAACTAATGAGCTTATTCTCAGTTCTCTTTCATATTTTCAGAAGACTGTTTTGTAGCAAGTAATGATCTCCAGGTTTGAGAGATGAAAAAGCTAGCGATTGAAGCTAGCTTCAAGCTGAAGTCGGCTAGTATCACGGTCCCAGTTAAAACACAAAACCAAATGACCAGCCGACCAAAGCTTGCAGACAGAAGGGGATTAACTCAGCCACAGGAAGTCTGTGCAGAAGAGAAGTATGTCTCTTTGGCAATAAGTAGCCAAAGCTACTGCCTTGAAAAGTAGTAACTACTTTCCCATTTACTGTTGTTTGTTGACCAGTTCAGGCCTGATGAAAAAATCATTGCCTTTAAAAAGAAAAAAAATTGAATTTGTTTGCTTTTAAATGCCTCTTAGAGCTTTGGGAATTCCAGTAACAGACCATACCTACGAAGACTGCAGATTAATGATCTCAGCAGGACAGCTGACATTGCCTATGGAAGCTGGGTTGGTGGAATTTACCAAAATAAGCCAGAAATTGAAGTAAGTATGTTTTTAAATTGCTACACTTTCATAAAGGTGCCCCCCAGAGATCTGATGTCTTGTTTCTTTTCTCTGGTTTCATTAATGCTCAGCTCTAGAGCATTTATTCTAGACCCTGTGGCTCTAGAACCCACTTTTTTTTTTTTAATATTTTATTTATTTGACAGACAGAGATCACAAGTAGGCAGAGAAGCAGGCAGAGAGAGAGGAGGAAGCAGGCTCCCTGTTGAGCAGAGAGCCCGATGTGGGGCTCAATCCCAGGACCCTGGGATCATGACCTGAGCCTAAGGCAGAGGCTTTAACCCACTGAGCCACCCAGGCGCCCCCCACGGGTTTTTTATTAAGGAAACCAGGACTGTGATTTCATCTCCCATGTAGTTCACCTAGTTGTGTTTTTTTTCAAGAACAGTTAATTCAGGGGGCGCCTGGGTGGCTCAGTGGGTTAAAACCTCTGCCTTCGGCTCAGATGATGATCCCAGGGTCCTGGGATCAAGCCCTGCATCTGGCTCTCTGCTCAACAGGGAGCCTGCTTCCTCCTCTCTCTCTGCCTGCTTCTCTGCCTACTTGTGATCTCTCTCTCTGTGTCAAATAAATAAGTAAAAATCTTAAAAAAAAAAAAAAAAAAAGAATGGTTAACTCAGAAGCATGGGTACTGGTCATACGAGGAGCCCGAGAGATAGTCGGTGTGGACCAGCACAGATCTGCCCTTCTCAGAGGTGTCTCAGAGCAGTCAGTCTGTCCTGCTGCCCCCTTGCAAAAAGGATGACTTCATTAGATGGTCCTGCCAGGTGGCGGTCAGACCTCGTGTGAAGTCTGAATTGATTTGTAGGGAAGCAATTCTGACCATCACTGAGTTTTAAATACTTATCCTCGATCTCCTTTCTCTTCAGGGTGTGTAATTTTTTTAAGGGAAAACCCCTTCTTTTTACCTTTATAAACAACCCCTTTGAACCATCTGCTATTAAAAGGTATCACCCCCGATTCCCTTATTACTGTTCATTCTGTTTTCAGAATATATCGATTTGCAGAATATATTGATTCAGTAGGCTTTGGCATCCTCCCAAGGAGAGAGCTGCAGAACTGGTTATTATATTAAAGGTCAATATTGGGAGATAATATTTTGATAACTGATAGAGCAAATAGGATTCATATCTTATAAGTAACAAGCATGGTTGATATTATATTCACAATATTCGTGTAATTTGATTCATTTGAAAAGTTTAGGTAGTTACTAAAATCAGATACAGAAGAAAGCAGCATGTGTTAGGTCACCTGTTTAATTGGACAAGACAAAGACAGGATGTGATGTGAGCTATGGTACGTTTTCTGGCATTATGGTGTTTCAGTGTTCTAGAACTTTGCTTGGAGGAAATGTGTGTCATCTAATGAATCTCCCTATCCCAACATTTTGTGTAATGCGAATTCATCATCAGCCTGGAAACTTTTAAAAGCAAGATATGCGTATTTTTTTTAAGATTTTATTTATTTACTTGACAGACAGAGATCTCAAGTAGGCAGAGAGGCAGGCAGAGAGAGAGAAGGGGAAGCAGGCTCCCCGCTGAGCAGAGAGCCCGATGCAGGGCTCGATCCCAGGACCCCGGCATCATGACTTGAGCCAAAGGCAGAGGCTTAACCCACTGAGCCACCCAGGCTCCCCTAGAATTGCATATTTTTTTTAAACAACCCAGTAAGTACTAAGTAATATTTAGATTCAAATACGATTTCTTATTTTCTTTTCACAAGTCATTCCTTATTTCCTCACACTGCTCCTGTTCTCAGTTACTTTCCTCTTCCTTAGGTCTTTGAGAAAACTACAGTCTCACTAATGTCCTTCAAAAAAATCAGAAGCCTGTGTACACATCCCATAAGTACTCTGAAATACCCATTTTATTCTCATTTCCAGATGTAACACTTAAGATATCGTTCCTTCAGACGGTGACTCAAACACCATTCATAAAATGTCCATGTGGGTGGTAAAGGGCTGACCACACGTGTTCATGAGTCTTTGTTTGTTTAGGTTAGACTGGGATGGTGTTCGTAAGCAGTTGGACGAGTACGCAGTAATCGCAAGTTCTTCAAAAGGAGGACGAATCGGAATTGAAGAATTTGCGGAGTATTTGAAGCTGCCTGTTTCAGATGTCCTGAGACAACTCTTTGCACTCTTTGATAGGGTATGTTACAATATCGTCTCTAGCGCCCAAACATCTTTACTCTGCTGGTCTCCAGGGAGCATAAATCAGTAGGTCATTAGAAAAACTCGGCAGGTGACTGTTAGAGGAAGCAAGACCGAGCCCAAGTTTAATTTCATGATCTGGTTTTCCCCCTTAAGTTGTAACAATAGTAGTAATATAATTGTGTGTGTGTGTGTGTGTGTGTGTGTTGCAACAATTATGATGGTATCTAGTTATTTTAAATACCAGGTCAGAAATAAATAGTGTGACCATAAAACCACATTTGTAATATAGAATTGGAAAGGCTTCTATAACTAGCAAGAACCTAAGTCTTTTTTTTTTTTTTTAAGATTTTATTTATTTATTTGACAGACAGAGATCACAAGTAGGCAGAGAGGCAGGTAGAGGGAGAGGGGGAAGCAGGCTCCCTGCTGAGCAGAGAGCCCAATGCAGGATTCGATCCCAGGACCCCGGGATCATGACCTGAACCGAAGGCAGAGGCTTAACCCACTGAACCACCCAGGTGCCCCAAGAACCTAAGTCTTTATGTCAAAATTCATTCATGGATGACAGAGGTGGTATTAGTCTATCCTGAAGACTTCTGGACTGCCCCCAAGACATGTGAGGACCAAATGGATTTTGTTTTCAAGTAACGTTTTATGACAAAGTTTGCCAGTAAAACTTGACCATTCGCCATTATATTAGAGGTATGATTTTCTGCTTATGAGGATGTAAGTACGAGCAGTTAGATAACTGAATTGTCAGAAAGTTTCCCTGAGAAAACTGTATCAAGATGTCAAGCTCTCAATTTTTAATGTGTTTTTTTAATGTACAAAGTTGACAATGAAGTTTACCTTTTTGGTGACAGTATTACGAGTGTTCGTAAATGAACTGAGGCAGGTAACTCCATTCAAGATACAGAACCTGCAAGAAACAGCTGTAGCCACCCCCTTTGTAGTGATATCCTTGCCCTCCCCTTTACCCCCAGCAATCACTCCCCCTCTGTAGCTTTGCCTTTTGTAGATGCCATGTAAATGGAATCAGATAGTGTAGATCTTTCTGAGTCTGGCTTCTTTCACTTGGCATAATGCATCTGAAATTCGGCCATGCGATCGCACATATCAACAATGTGTCCCCCTTTCCTTGCTGAGTGGCCTTCTGTTGTATGGACGCCCCATTCTCGGAGTCCCCTGTCCCCAATGGAGGAGTATTTCAGTTTGTTTCCAGTTTGGGGCAATGATGAATACAAACTATGAATATTCTTCTGTAGGTTTTTGTGTAAATCTAGGCTTTCGTTTCCCTGGGGGTATAGACTTAGGATTGTGATCTTGTTACTGTCTTATCTGAGAGTGACTTTACTTTGCATGCATTCCTAAAGGATATTTCTTTCTTTCTTTTTTTTTTTTTTTTGTTTATTTGACACAGAGAGAAAGATCACAAGTAGGCAGAGAGGCAGGCAGAGAGAGAGGGGGAAGCAGGCTCCCTGCTGAGCAGAGAGCCCAATGTGGGGCTCTATCCCTGGACCTTGAGATCATGGCCTGAGCCGAAGGCAGAGACTTAACCCACTGAGCCACCCAGGTGCCCCCTTATAGGATATTTCTGTTGTGAATAGCATTGACTCGAGAGTCCTTCCCTTTCAACAGGTTAGCGAGAGGTCCTGCTGCCTTCAGTCCTCTGTGGTTATCCTGCCTTACTGATTTTTCTTTAGTTTTGGCTCTCCTCACCAATCCTCCTTCCACAGCATTCTGTCCAGAGGTGGTTGCCTTTTGTATTTTGACTAGAGTTTCTAATTGTAATCGAAAGGAGAGATGGGCTCACCCGGGCTTTTTCCATCCTGGCTGGCTCCAGAAGTCTCGGTTCTCTATGGACCACTGGGAAAAGATCTTGCAAAGAAATCATAGCTTGATGACAGAAACCAGGACGTGGTTTTTTTTTTCTCTCTTTACCCAGAGCACTGGGTACTCATGATCCTAATGACTCATTCTCTGACCTCTGAGATGAACCATCCTTCAACCTGAGGCAGGGGAGGAATCTTCTTCTCTCTGGAGTGCCCGGTCCCCTGTTCTCGGCTTGCTTACAGCAAACAGACCATCTTCCCTTGTCCCGGAAACAGTCGTGTGCCACTGCAGTTGAACTCCTAGAAGGTATAATGAAGGTTTAGAAGAAAGGAGAAGTAAGTTATTGGCTAGAACCACGCAAGTTGGGAAAATAGAAGCACTTCTTACTGGTACTATTACCAGTCTCTCTGCGAGCTTCATGTTGTCTCATCTTCCTTTTTGGCTCCAGAAACCAGGCAAGTAATTTTATACGAAGCTTCTATAAATACGAACTTGGTGACAGGAAGGGATATGGCAGGGATCGACAAACAAGGACAGGAGATGGGGGAATGGGACATGAAATGAGGGCTAAGGAGGAAACTCAGAGCATATCTCAGACGTCGGGTTCATCAGGATTTTCCACCAAAATTGGAAATTATATCTGTGGAGGTTGCCGTCCCTTTTCAGATGTCAAAGTGTCATTGCTGGCAATTCCATGACACCCGTTCTGTCATTTGGTGGCTGATGACCCCTGTCGTTTCTCTGGTAATCTTAAGGATGGGAAGATTTGGGAGTAGGGAAGGGAGGGGACAAGGATTAAAATAACCCCCAGTTAGCCGGGTTGACTCAGAACTAGAGGATACAGCGAGCCTTGGCAGTGAAGTTGGCCAATCACATTTCTGCATGGACAGCTTCCACTAGCGCACACGCCACTTACAACCGCGAGTGTGACTTTGTATAGTGTGACTTGGCTCTCACCGGAGACCGCGAGATGGTCTTTCCAGCAACTTTTCTTTTTATCTCCAACATACTGGAATGTTGAGAAAATAGCCTGGAGAATGAGGGATTCAGGCATGGGACCTTCCTTTCTCTCCTTTCCTTTTCTCCTTTCTTTTTTCCTCTTCCCCCTTTCTGTCTTTGTCTGTCTTTCTTTCCTTTTCCGTCTCTAACCTTTCTGCATGTCTGTGCCTGTGAAGATGTGCTTTGTTTTGAGAAGGCGAATTATGCAATTGTTGCCACGCCCTGGGCACATACCCACTTAACTCCCAGGCTAGGCTTGTTTTCTTGGTCTCTTGAAGTCATCTAGCTGGGGAATGTTCCACGGGAAAGATGAGAAGTTCAGTAATGCCAGTTTGTTTCTCTCCGAGTAGCTTATCTTGCTAAACGCTATGCTTAATGAGGGGTGGGGGTTCAGGGGAGGAAGGGTGGGAACGAGAAAGGGTGGGGTGTTCCTGTGGGTCTTCCAACAGCTGTAAATGTTTGCAGTGCCGACAGCTGCCCTCAGCCTCTCTGTCTTCCCCCAAGACTAATGAGGTTGTGTTGGGATTTGGGGGATGGGACAAAGACCTGAAAATCTCTCCACATTCCCTAACTCTTTCTTCCCATGTACAGTCTTGGCTGGTCTAGAAAGACTTCATAATGGTCTTGTCTCAGTTTGTCGCTAAAAAATACACTGTCTCTTCAGCTCCTGCTGACATCCTGACATGTCCTTTCAGGTTCTTGGGGGAATCTGATGACAAGTAAGGTCTGACAAAAACATGACATTCGCCATCCCAAGCATGGCGTAGTTCCCTAGTTTTTAGGATCATTGCCTTTGGAGAGATCCTATCTCTCTGAAAAAGATGAATAAACGTTTTTATCTTTGCGTTGAATTTTGCTTCTTTATTTTTTATGGACGTATCCTGAACTCTCCGCATTGGATGGGTCAGATGTCCAGATGAGTCAGAGCTAAAGGCTAAGACAATGGTTTAAAACAGCGGTGTCTTGACATTTTTTTATATTCATTAATTCAGTTTTAAATACAAGATTTTTTGCCAGCACTCCGGAATGGATTGAAGCTTCTTTAATGGGATTAAGGAACATCGCTAACTAACCCGAAGTCATTATAACACAGTCATTTTTCCAGTTCTAACCATGTCTCAGGATGTCTGTGACAGCAAGCCTGTCCCCTGAGCCCTCCTTCAGAGCTGTGTTCCTGAATCAGCAGTCTCCGATGTACCTGTAAGACAGAGTCCTCAAATGCTTCGGGATGTAGCTCGCCCCTGGTGCTGGCTTGACTAGGCACCGTGTTATCTGCCTCTCACCTCTTACTAGCGGCAAGTTCCATCTCCTCTAACTGTACCTCCTGATAGACTCAGTTTAACATTTCATCAACACCCGTATGCCCACGCGCTGATGACCAAGCCACATGTAGGGGTCAGCACATTCTTCCTGTAAAGAGCCAGATAGTAAATATTTTTTTACTTTATAGCACTTATGGTCCAAAACTTTCAGGGAAGCTTGTACAATCGAAGAGAAAAGTTCATCGTAGCCCACTCAGAAAGATCTTTCCATTTACCCGCAGTCACCTAAGCCACGAAAGTACCCTGTCCCAACTCTCAGCACGAGCAGAAAATCTGCACGCTATAACACCCTGCCCTCTCCAACAGGAAGGGGCAAGCAAAGATGCTTGTTATTCTTGGCACTCAGGATTTGATGCTGGAACTAATACCAAGAACTAGGCAGGCAGGAAAGAACTTAGGATAAAGAGATGCATTCATTCCACATAATGTGAAACGGTGGTAAAAGATTTACAGAAGTTTACGATAGCCGAAAATGCTGGATTATCAAAGTGCTAAGGCACACACACTTTTCCTGCCTAACAGTTAAACAAAGGATGTAGTAAATGCCAGAAGAACTAAGTACACGTTAGAAGACCGAGAGAGGGAAAATCGTGATGGTTTTCAAAATTATTTTACAGAATGGAAAGAACAACCACTTATCTAAATTTTATCAGGTGATGGTCTGTTTTGCAATGTTATTGGTAAAAAAGGCATGAGCTCGTGCTAGACTATATGTAGCTGAGGAGTTAGAAAGGAGTCTGTCTAGTCTGTGAAGACAAATAGTATGAGACCAGTAGAAATGAGGGAGGGTATCAGCCAGAGGCAGAGAGAGAAGACAAGAAGAAAGATTTAGAGGATCACT